CTAGCTAGCCTACATCCCTTGGATTCTATGGCATCTCTTATCCAAGCACTAACCAGGCTGACTCTGCTCACAGCCTAGACAAGATCAGTCAGGTGTGATTACCCATGAGGCTCTACTCATAAAGCAGATGCTCTATCGCTATCTTTTCCTTATAAATAATGTACCCTCAAATCAATTTTTAAACCTGTGGCCCTTGTGCCTTGATGTTCCTATTGCTTCAGGCATGATGGAAATGGTATTTATCTTTTATTTTAATGCTACTCTCAGTGCCAAAGGAGGCCAGAGACTGTGTACAAAACAACCCTCTTTGAGTTAAACTTATATTTAGAATTAAATATAATTTTAACTCAAAGAGGGTTGTTTTGTACACAGTCTCTGGTCTCCTTTGGCACTGAGAGTAGCATTAAAATAAAAAATAAATGCCATTTCCATCATACCTGAAGAAACAGTAAATAGATCAATCAACAATAAAATTACCAATCCTGGAATCAGACAATAACATTGCAATAATTGAGACAAACTTCATTTTTACTAGCACTGCTGATGCTACCTAGTTTGGGTAATGAAATATCTTCAAGTAAACAACCAAGCTCAGAGACCACCAAGGATCCCTCACTTTATTTTTATTTTTTAAATAATGTAACAGTTTGGTCCTGGAATAGTTCTTTATCTTACAAATGCTTGGGTAAATAGCAATAGCACTTAGACTTATATACCACTTCCTAGTGCTTTAGAGCTCTGTGTAAGAGGTTTACAGAGTCAGCATATTGCCCCCAACAATCTGGACCCTCATTTTACTGACCTCGGAAGGATGGAAGGCTGAAATCAACCTTGAGCTGGTGAGGATCAAACTGCTGCAATATTGCATTCTAACCTATAGGCAGGTCTTGAGTTGTCTGTAATGAAATAGACCAGTAGTTCTCAACCTTTTTAATGCCGCGACCCCCAACCGGTCGTAAGTCGAGGACTACTCAACTGGTGCAGCACCGTTTGCAGAATGGGACTTTTGGCAGGCTCAGCAGGGCAGAGACAGCCTGGACAATTCCTATTGGCTTTTGAAAGCCAATAGAATTAGACTCTATTCAAGAGAGTCTATTCTATTGGCTTTCAAAAGCCAATAGAATAAAAGGGAGTAGCACAGCTAAGGAAAAGGGGAAAAAAATGGCGGACTGCGTTGTTTGGCGACCCCCGTGAAATGGTCGTTCGACCCCAAATGGGGTCCCGACCCACAGGTTGAGAACCACTGAAATAGACGGAAGACAGATGCCATCAAAAAGGCCCTACTCCTAGCCATCCAAAGGTGAGCTAAACCTATTAGTGAGTCTACAAGCAGAACCCCAGCTGATGTTAGTGAGTAGTATTGCAGAGACTTTTTTTTTCCAGCTTTCTGATCCCAAGCATTTTAGGCATGGATATAGCTGCTGCCAAATTCTAATTTGGAAAACAGTTAGATCAGGCAGGATTTTAAAAGCTTCACAATGGTGGCTGGTCTCTATGGCATGAAACTAATACCATCGCTATGCCAGGAAACTAATTCTTCTGGAAATGAATATGGGCTTTCATAGCAGCATGAAAATTAGCCTCAAAATCCTTGATTCAAAATATGTCTTTTTCAAACATAGAAAAGAAAAAAAAGGAAGGTGTTACAAACTGTTTAAAATGCACTAGCTGCATTTTAAAAATCTTGTGCCCAGAGAATTTGTATTGCAGCTAAGAAATCTTCAGGATTAAAAAAAAAATGAAATAGGTCATTTGCATTGATAAAAAAAAGTTATCAGGCAGTTTATGCTATGACTTACAAACAATCATGAAATGTTGCAAATATAAACAGTTACACCATTTCTGTAGCATTTATGTAAAAAAATAAAGTAGAAAACTCAGTAGGGAAATTGCCCTTCGAATACAGTTTAGAAAACAGATCAGGCTTTTAGCAATTTAAATTCCTTAACACTGTCACTTTCTTTCATCTGTTTGCACTGGATAGAACTGCCATGGATACCACCCAACCACTTTCTGACCTGAGTCTCAAAAATGTTGGATTTTCTAACCAATATTCATGCAAGTGCACATTGCGCCTCCTAGCCAATTATACTAACTTCTGATTCTATACATACATAAATTAAAAGGACAGAGGTCAGAGCTGAGGAAATTGAATTTTCTTCTGAACATAAACATGCAAGAATATTATACAGCTATCACATTTTTCAGGGGACTGGCATGTAGTTGCACTGATATATTTATTGATAAAGAGTGATGATTTCATGAGAAAAGAACATGCATATAGTCCGTGATTTAGCAACATATATTAATGTTGATTAAATTGTCCTTTACAAGATGTCCTCAAAGACTTTTGAGTATAGCAGTAGAGCTTATGCAGGATTCTGGGCACAGATTGTCACTATATCTTCTTGCCTTAATAGAATAACCAAGTTGGAAGGGACCTTGGAGGTCTTCTAGTCCAACCCTCTGCTCAAGCAAGAAACCCTATACCAATGGTTCTCAACCCCACAGACCTCTTTTAAATGACCTAAAATTTAAATCATAACATTTATTCAAGCCTTCACTGACCCCCTGTGACCACATCATGCCTCCCCCAGGGGTCTGCAGACCACCAATTGAGAACTACTACCCTATACCATTTTACACAAATGTTTGCCCAATCTCTTCTTAAAAATAGTGTTGGAGCACTGGATGAAGATTTTTCCACTGATTAATTGTTCTCACTGTCAGGAAATTTTTCCTTAGCTCTAGGTTGCGTCTCTCCTTGATTAGTTTCCATCCGTTGCTTCTTGTTCTGCCTTCAGGTGCTCTTCCTTGTGACAACCCCTGAGATACTGGAACACTGCTATCATGTCCCCCCTCATCCTTCTCTTCATTAAACTAGACATACCCAATTCCTGCAACCATTCTTCAGTTCCCTAATTAGTTTTGTTGTTCTTCTCTGTTCTTTTTCTAGAGTCTTGACATCTTTTTTATATTGTGATGACCAAAACTGGATGCAATATTCCAAGTGTGGTCTTACTAAGGCATTATCAAGTGGTACTAACTTTTCATGTGATTTTGATTCCATGTTAATGTAGCCTAGGACTTTTTTGCCATTTTTGGGCAGCTGCAGCATGTCAAGACTGCTGGTTCATATTTAAGTGATTGTCCACTAGGACTCCAAGATCCTTCTCACAATTACTACTACCATACTGAGTCAGATTCCACCTATTCTATACCTGCACATTTGGATTTTCTAGCCTAAGCGTAAGGGTCCAGTGTTCAAGTCTGTCAAGATCCTTCTGTGTCTTGAACTATCTTTTGAAGTGTTGACTATTCCTACCAGCTTGGTGTCATCTGCAAATTTGATGAGTTACCCTTCTATCCCCTCATCTAAATCATTTATAAATACATTGAAGAATGCTGGGTAAGACAGAGCCTTGTGGTACCCCATTGCATACTTCTCTCCATGAAGATACAGTTCTATTGAGTGTGGTTGGTCAATCAGTTATGAATCCATCTGGCAGTGATGCTATTTAACCTACATTTTTTTTATCTTATTAAGAAGTAGTTGTGGTCTTCTTTATCAAATCTCTTACTGAAATCAAAGTAAATTATATCCACAGCATTTTGCTAGTCCACTAATTTGTTACATTATCAAAAAATGCAATAAGATTTATCTCGCATGATCTGTTTTTGACAAACCCATGTTGGCTTCTGGTTATTATTTTATTTGCCTGTAGGTGTTCACAGATACATTACTTGATTAACTTTTCCAAAATCTTCCGAGATATTGATATCAGGCTGATAGGTCTGTAGTTTCATGGTTCCATCTTTTTTCCTTTTTTGAAGATGAAAACTACATCAGCTCTTTTCTACTTATCTGGTAGTTGCCTGGTGCTCCAGGATCTTTGAAAGATATGGTTCAGTGGTCTTTCTTCATGGGCCTCCATTTAGAGAAATCTACTTTGCAAAAAAGAATCTTTGTCTACACAGCTGAATATGTAGATGTTCTGTATGAGCAAGAATTTAGCATTTTCTAAATGCCCTATTTAATGGGTAGCCGGAGCAGAACGTTTTTCTTTGTTGAGCTTCACACAGTGTCCTTAAGAACCAATAGGAGGAAGAGTCTGATGAGATTAATGTCAAGACAAAGGTGATTTAGCACAACAAGCCCAACTAACCTTTGAATATTTAGGAACTCAAAGGAAGCTGGTGGTTGTTTCTAAAACTAAGAAGACAATGACAGATACTGCTTTAATGAAACAATCAGAAGGATGATGAAACCATATAATTTATTCATTTACTTAAAATAATAATTGTAGCTTCACATGCTTTCCAGAGGTTTTTGGGGTAGGTTGCAATCCATGCATTAAAATAACAGAGTAAAACAAGTAAAAGAAACAATGAGTTAATTTAAACTATTCAGTCATTTTGAAAAATATAATATAGGAAGGACTAAGATCCAAAATTTTGGAAACCAGTTTGGATATTATTCATCAAATGTATTGGTGGCCTATAAGCCAAAATTCTGGATTCATGGAGATGCATTAACATGGTTTTTTTGTTTGTTTGTTTAAAATATAAAAAGATTCAGGCAACTTTAATTCAAGCAGTACAACTCAAGCAACTTTAACATGAGGCTAGATCAATATAGTCTTAGTGACAATTACTAAAGAAAGAAAGAAAGAATTCAGCAAGATATTTCACAGCAGGTAGATCAGAGATTTCTTCTCTTTAATCTACACTGGATGGAGCCCTTTATATTCCTTGGGAATTTTACAGTTCTAACTTTGTAAGAGGGGAAGAAAGAAGAGGAAGAGTTAATCCAAAATATCCAGAATCAGAGGACAAGGATGAAATCGAGACTCATCAATAACATCTACAGTAAGAACACCATCAGTAAGAAGACATAGTGCCTTTCTTCCTCAGTCTTCCTTTCACCATCTCCCTCCTCCCACTTTTGATTTGGATCTTCATTATTAATTATATATATTGCCTATTGTGTTTTCTTTTAGCCAGGAGCAAATGGCTTCCTTCAGATCCTCAGATCATATCAGAAGGATTATATGCAATAGCGGTGGTACTCAGTTTCTCAAGGATTGCTTACATTCTCCCAGCCAATGAAAGTTTTGGTCCTCTCCAGATTTCTTTGGGAAGAACTGTGAAAGACATCTTCAAGTTCATGGTCATCTTTATCATGGTGTTTCTCGCCTTCATGATTGGAATGTTCAACCTTTACTCATACTACCTAGGTGCAAAATATAACCCAGCATTTACAACGTGAGTATCTATAGCATGGGTTTTGACTCCCCAGACTGCTGTTATGTGTATTCTATAGAATTACAGACTATATGTATTCCTGCATTGTTTGGAACATTATTGTGGGTAATATCCAGTTTATTTTGCACTCAACACATTCCAAGCCAACCCCTCTATCTAGATCAGACCAATACATGTCACTCAGTTCAGCTAGCATATATAGTTTGATGTTTATATATTAGACATCAGCAAACATCAAAACAGTTTAATTGATAAAATGAGATCAAAGGAACACAAAAACAAGGAGACATAAATAGTACCAACCATTATATCTTCTTTCTCTCTCTCTCTCTCTGTCTGTCTGTCTATCTGTCTGTCTATCTATCTATCTATCTATCTATCTATCTATCTATCTATCTATCTATATCTCAAAAGCAAAGAAACACTGTTGTAGGAAATTATCAATGCCAATCCTAAAGGAAGATAGCAGCAACAGAATAGAGATGGAAAATAGGGTACCAGAAGATATATCCTGCACCATTAAAGAAACAATTTGGTGGACGGAGATGATATGTCCTAATATGCATATCCTTTTCAGATATCAAATGTTATACCATTTTACTGTTAATCGGGTATTCTATAGTGCTTCAAGGAAAGCTATAACATTTTGAGAATGAGGGAATTATTTACCACAGGGCTTGAGATATAATATATAATATAATGCAATGCAATGTAATAACATAACAACATAATGTAATTTAATGTAATGTAATGTAATGCAATGCAATGCAATGCAATACAATGCAATATAAAGCAATACAAAGCAATACAATAATATAACATAATATAACATAATAATATATAAAAAAACAAATACATAACGTAACGTAATGTATTAGCACAGCAAAAGTTATTTTTCAATGAAGGTGCTTAACAAAAGCTGCATGCCATTGCTGATATATCTATTTCTATCTTTCCCCAAACCATTATTCCATCTATTCTAGAATAATTTGCAGTGCCCATCTATATGACAGGTCAGTTTTCTCACAGGTTGGTGTTTTTTGTAACTTATAGATCCAACCTCATCATTAAAAAGTTTAAAAAAGAAAATGCTCACAAAGCCAGGAAACCTTACAAAATCTCTTGTGTTCTTGCAAAAGCACAGTGTGAGCATGCATTATGATATGCTTTAGATTGTTCAGCACTGATTATAGACTATTTTGGAGTTAAATCTTTTATAAAAGTTGAAAAGTGACAAACTTGTAGCTGGCTGTGAAGAAGGTGATGACCTCTACGCCAACACAGGTCCATAGGACTTTGCTGTAATGAATTCACTAGATCATAATCACATGAAATACCTTAAAATTTCATTTTAAGGGAAGGAGGGAAGGAAGGAGGAGGGAGGGAAGAGAGCTATTTGGAACTGGCCTCCCATCTATTTATATCTTGACTAGGTCACCCCCTGTTTTGTACTATATTAATGCAACTGCCAGTATATGCCTACATATAAGGCGAGGGTTTCCATGAGAGTGCCATGCCTTGAAAAAAGGCAGCATCAGACTTTCAGCAGCCAATATGCCCTTAATTTATTCTCCAGTAAGCACGTATTCTTTCTGACAGCTGTTGCAAGTGGAAAATAGCATCTAATCCTGTAATTAAAGACTGCTCCCTAAAGAAGATGCATAAGGGAGCAGATTTGCAGTTTCAACTGTCATTTTGTGTGTGTGGGGGGTCTTATTGCTGCAGTTCATCATTCTGAAAATGGTTTGAGGAATTCCAGTTTGTATGTATGGCAAGCTGATTTCTGGTCATTAAGTAATTAAGTATAAAACAACAAATAGAGTCTGTGAGGACTTCTTTGCTTTTTTTATGGTCAAGAAGTATCATATCAACAACTTTGTTCCTGGAATTTGCATACAGAACTTTATATTCTGGATGAGAAATAGCATAGAGACATGTCTCCTGAAACATAAAGTTCTATATATATGCTACATAATTTCTAAAGAGAAAGATAGATAGGCATTAGATTAGGTTTTGCTCAATTTACTAGACCTTGCAAAAACTTCATTTTCATCACTTGGCTTGTTTGTCACCCTGATATCTTCTCCACATCCCATTAGAAAACACCAGCATGCATGCATATTTAAATATTTATATTTAAATATTTATATTTAAAATTTTAAATATATTTCCATCTATTTCTGATATTTGATTTGATATTCATGACATCAGATACACACCCAGTTTAGGGTAGTCCAATGGCTTATGGACATAGATTTGCAATATTTAAGATCCAGAGCCAACAAAACCTGCTCCCTTTTGATCTTCAGCCATTCTAATAATTATGGATTGAGGATGGCCTCTTATTTCTATACTCTAACCATCCCCAAGTATAGAAGAGTCTTTTCCCTAGCCCGTTTCAATGTTTTGCCCTCAACACTACTCAACGGGCAATTCAAGGGGCTCCTGTTTAGTGAGCGACTATGCCCCTGTGATAGGGCTGAAGTTGAAACTGTGGAGCATGTCTTATCATACTGCCCTATGTATAACACAGCCAGAATTAAATTATTGTCTCTTCCTGGAATTGATCCCTCTGGTTCTAATGTTAGTAATTTGGTCTTATATTGTCTAGGGCATGGCTCCTCAGGTTTCTAAATTTCTTTTAAGAGCTGTAACTATTAGAGGAGAATGTTGTAATTCCCTTTAGCCAAGGCTTCTGGTGTTAAGTGTTTGTGATTGTATTTTTCTTGTGTTTTCTTTTGTTGCACTTGCATTTTGGTCTGTGACTGTAAAATAAAAATTATTATTATTATGACATCAGATAATTTGGAACAAATGAACAACAGTAGCATCATTATGGAGCAATGGTTTTAATACAGTCTACAAGAATTTAATCCTAAATAAAAACAGAACCAGGGATTATATATTAGAATTTGGGAATTACTTGTTAGGCAAAAAATAATGTTAAATATCTCTGACATAGGATTAAGCTGTCTGAAATCCATGGAAATCAATGGCTTATGTGTACCTTATTTGGTATGAAATGGACAGTAGAATTGTATATGCTAAGCTAAGACAGAATAGCAAGAATAAACATGATCAGCACGCATTTAGGATAAGATAGCACAGCTCAGAGATATTTCTGAAAAAAGTAATTTCTTTGTAATATGTCTCAGCATCTAGAGGTCTATCTTACGATCCCCAAATGACCATACAGATTAGCCAGCGGAGGCTTATCCCAAATAATAATTGAATATGAGTAATATCATTCTTGCTTGAATAGTCTTTATTGAGGTTATTGACCTGTATATAGTTTTACAACTTACATAATAGATTTCAAATAAAAATATAGTTCCTATATAGTGACAATAAATAAAGTTACATGGTAATAGTATATACTATTATATATACTATATAATAGTATATATACTATTACAACATATAAGAAGACAGTAAAAAAATAGAAGCTAAAAAACTGATTGTCATCAAATATGATAAAGTACCATTTTTTTCCTTCTGTTCAATTATGTCCAATTTTCGCAGGCCAGCAGTTTTCTTGGCAAGGTTTTTCAGAAGTGGTTTGCCATTGCCTCTTTCCTAAGACTGAGAAAAAGTGATTGGCCCAAGATCATCCAGTGGACTTTGTGCCCAAAACAAGACTAGAATTCACTGTTTCCCAGTTTCTAGCCCGATGCCTTAACTGGCTCTCGATATGCCTATAAAACACCTTAATTAATAGAATCCCTAAGCATTAAAGTATGATTTTTAATATACACTTTTAAAACACATATTTAAAATTAATGCCCATTGATTGATAAGTCATTTTATTAAATTCTTTAATAAATTAAGGTTACAGGTCAGCCCCATAAATCTAGCAATATTACAGAGTAAAAATGGTGCAAGCTCCTTAAGCACCCCCTTGATCTCCACATTCAGCATGCTGTTTCAAAAGAATTTTGCTCCTTGCCATGTCATTTCTGGATCCTTATCTTCAAGTAGACATTATATATGTAGATCATTTGGAGCATTCAGAATCACTAAGATACTTCATTCAGTAAGATCTTCAGATATGAAAGACGTCCTGGACTTTATTTGGATACTCAGACTGGAGGTTGACAGATTGGCACCATAGAGGCTATCGTAGCAAAGTTCCATGAGTATGTGCAGCTAACAGTATAGAAGAAAACAGGCAATCACAATTTCTAAAAACATGTCTCCATATGTGGAGAGTCTCTCCTTACATGGGATGAACCCTCAGGATTGCTGATGGGGGATATCAAAGCAAACAACCTCTGCAATATTTGGGGAGAGTAAATTTAAGATATTGAGCTATTTATGGGTTACCCTAGGCCTAGCCTAGGGGATTCACTACCATGCTTGCAGAAATTCTCAGTTGATCTTCCTGCCTGCCCTTACGATTTAGTTTGTGTTTCAGGAACTCTCGTGTGGTCATATCTCATTCCCAGAAGCATCTGAGAAGAAAGCTCACAAGGCATCATTTTCTGCTCTATACTAATTTTCCAGGGCAATGAAAAGAATCTGCCAATCTTAGCAGGGTCAGCTTTTCTGGTAGGACATTTAACTTTAGCTACATGTTATACATCGTCTTTAAAACATGGATTAGATAGATCTGAGCAGAGATGCCTTTCTCGCCCTAATTCTGCTCTGCAAGGAAAAGATTTGACTGCAAAGAATTTAATGACGGTTGAAATGTATTGTGCAGAATATTGGGATGCATGTAAGAAGTAGGCTTCCAATTTCCACTTGACTTAAAAAAAACAAAGATACTCCTGAGATACTTAAAACAAGTCAGTGGGTTAAAGGTATGCCCACTGGAATTAATTTATGTATTTAATTTCTATGGCTGCCCACCTTAGTGACTGGGTGGCTTACAGTTCAGTTCAGGTTTTGGGGTCTTTTGAGAACTCCATAATCTTTGTTATGTTGCAGTTCAGTTACAAATGATAATCCAAATGTAAGAGGAAGACAGAACAAAAGATTCTGTTTAATCTTACTGGGGT